CCAAAGCCTTGGGACTCTGCACCCGTGTGGGATACCCGGAAGAAGTTCCTGGATCCTGGCTTCAGATCAGCATAGCATCGGCCATTGTGCTCACTTGAGGAGTGAATCATCGGATGGAAGATCTTCCTCTCTGTCTCTCCTCATCTCTGTATATCTGACTTTCCAATAAATAAATAAAGCTTTAAATAAAAATAAAATAAATGAATAAATCTTTAAAATAAATAAATAATAAAAACATTCACTATTAATTTTACTTGAAAGTCAGAGTTACAAGAAAGAGAGGGGAGACAGAGATCTTCCATCTGGTAGTTTATTTCCCAAATGGCTAGAATAACCATAGCAGAGCCAGTCTAAAGCTAAGAATCAAAAGTTTCTTCCAAGTTTCCCACAAGGGTACAGGAGCCCAAGGACTGAGCCATCCTCAGCTGCTTTCCCAGCAGGGAACTGGATGGGGTGTGGAGCAGCAGGAGTACAGCCTGCGCCCATATGGGATACCAGCACCACAGAGGAGTAGTATGCACACCACCTGGCCAGCCCTTCACCGTCTACTTTTGACACTGTAGAGAAAACTTCCAAGATTGGAGGCCAAGTAACCTCTAAGTGAATAGGTGTACTTGTGACATGAATTTTGAATACTCTCATGAGACATGCAGGCAATTGTCTTGATATGTGGCTTGTCTCCTGAGAAAGCAAAATAGCTTACTGTTCTTTATTCTGCTACACTGTGTGAGATTCTAAGGTTTTAGGTAGTTTTGCATTCTTATATGCCTGTAAATCTGTTAACATTCACTTATTAACAAATTTTGTTCTTTGTTCCTTTCCATTGGTGCTATTTTCCTGCTAGAAATGAACTTCTCGTGAGTGCAAATGGGACAAAATCCCCTCAGACATCTCCTTTAAATTTATCTGAAGTGGAACTATGACTGCTGAGCATAAACATTCCATCTGCACTATCAAGTAAATAACAACACTCAGATGCAGAAACGATATAAACGCTTATGGCTTCCAGGTCAAGTCCCAAAGGCTCTACTTCCCATGTAGCTCCCTCCTAAAGACCTGGTAAAGCCATAGAGGATGGCCCAAGTGTCTTGGGATCGGCAACAATGTAGGAAGCCTGGAAGAAGCTTCTGGCTTCCTACTGTCCCAACTTGGAATGTAATTATCATTTGGGGAGTGAAACAGCACATGAAAGATCTCTCTGTCTCTCCTTATCTCTCTCCCTGTAACTTTGCCTTAGGAAAAAAGGGAAAATCTGTGGATTCCTATCTGGGTCCACACAAACTCCCTATGCATATTTCTGTATTTCTTTAGGTAAATGACTGTATGGCATACCTTTAAAACAAACTAAATGCTTTCATTTTATTACTTTTTTTTAAAAACCTTATTTCTAACACTATTAACATAGTTGAGAAGGATATATGCCCACATGGGTCTCCAGTTAGGGTGGATGCGACAAATGTCTCAGTTCTCTCCTTTTTTTTTTTTTTTTTTTTTTTTTCCTGTATCTGCAGTAGGGGAAGTGAGAGTACCATTCCTTCTTGTCAGACTGTATCCAGTACCTGGGCATGGCAGACACTAATTTGATGACACCTTAGGGATTTCAGTGTGGGGGACCGTGTTTTGAGGTTTTAACTCAGTGTTAACTTGAGTGATTTAATAGTTCTGAGACATCACTGGCTTTGTTGCACCAGGGTTGAGAACATCTTTCCAAGATTCACTGGTTGACCAAGTCCACCTCGGTGCATCCACAGCAGACCCAAAGCACATGTTTCAAAGCTTGGTCAGGAAAGAGGTCCAAACCATTTTGTTTTCCATCCTCTGACAAGGCACTTAATGGCCTCTGCTGGCCTGGAGGAGTTGACAGGCATGTCCCCCATGCGCATCTGGGCATGCATCAGCAACTGAGAAGGCCCATTCCTGATACATGCAAAATCAAACCACAAATCTCATGATTTTTTCCTCTGGCTGGGATTTGAGTCCAGAAATCTAGTTGGGTGTCCCCCAAGAATTCTCCTGGGGTGACCTCAGACCTGACTCTAATGTGCACCAGCCAGTGCAAGGTAGGGTTAGCTCCATCACCTGTACCGGCCAATACACATACTTGTGGATGCAGCTGTGTGGTCAATTCAGCCCCTAGCTCCATGTCTCACAAAAGACAATTACTACTATAGGCTAACCCAACAGAGTCCGCCACAAGCCTGCTCTTCACATGAATCAATGCATGCTGCAGCCTAATCTAGGAGACCTCCAGTAACCTCCAGTAACTATTAGGCCCACCTCTAGCATTAGTTTTTGCATGGGCTGGCATATGTTGCAAACTAGCCCAATCTGTCTCCCATCCTATCTGGTTCTCATGAATACCCATGGGTGCTAAAGCTTAGCTCAGTCAGTCTCACCCCCGGACCCAGTCCACCATATGCCAATGGGTGCTGTGGCCTTTACAAGCCTGGCTCGCCTCCAGTCCTGGCTCTCATGCTCACCAGCAGGAGTTGCAACCCACCAGAGAAGTGCCCACCATTGCCCTACCAGACCATTTCCAGCGCTGGAACCTGTGAGTGTCCCTGGGTCCTGTAACCCAGTCTAACATGGCTGGCCCCCACTCCTAGCACTTACTTAGTTGGTACTGCAGCCTCGGCCAACTGGCTCACATCCATTTTAGCTCTCACTGGTACCTGCTACATCCTGGCCTAACCTGGTTTACCCCCAGACCATGATTTCATATGACAGGGTGAGTGCTGTCACCTAGCCCAACCTAGCCCACACCCATTTTGGCACTTGTGAGTACCAGTGGGTTCTGGCAACTAACTCAATCTGGCCCTCCCCTAGACCCAGTCTGCATGCCAATGGGTGCTACAGCCTTGCCCAGCCCAGTCTACCCACAGCCCCAGCTCTCATGCTCACCAGTAGAAGCTGCATACAGCAGGGGAGTCCACAGAGTATCCCCACCAGGCCCATTCTAAGTCCGAGCTTTTGCTCATGTTGGCAGGTACTGCAAACATGCCTGATATGGCTAGCCCGTAATATCTACCCCCACCAGCAGGTATTGCACCCTAGCCCAGTTGTGTGAGGTGCCACCCTTTCCTGGCTCTCACGTGTGCCAACAGGTATTGAGGCTTGGCCTGTGGTCATCCCAGACTCTTCTCGGACAAATGCTTAGGAATTCTAAAGCCTTACCTGGCCTATCCCAGCTCTTATGCTTCCTTTGCCTGCCCTCTTCCCCCACCACTCCCCTGAGAACTAAGGCTTTGTAGAGAAATTACCCAAGTTCCCCTATCAGGCAGGCTCTCAGCCAACCCCAAATCTTACCAGGGTTGGTAGGTGCCACAAGCCTGCAGGGCATAGTCTGTCCTCAGTTCATGTGCCAGCAGATGCTACAGCCTTGCCCAGCTAGGCCTCCTCCCAGTCCCAACTCCTACAGGTATCAAGTGAATTCCTGTCAAGTGAGTGACAGTCCAGGCTAGCTCAGCAAGTCACTACCCCTGGACTTATGCAAGCCAGCAGGTGCTGCAGTCCCCCAGGGGTAAGCCCACAATCGCCTACAGAATCTGCCCCCCAGATCCATTTCTTCGCATTCTGGTGAATGCTGTGGCCCTGCCTGATGTGTCCCATGCCCTGCCCAGACACTTGTGGGTTGGTACGGTGGCCTACCCCAGCCAAGCATGCCCCCCAGCCCCCGTTTTGCATACATTAACAGGTGATCAGCAATGCTACTTTGGCCTACCCAGGTCTTCCATGTGGGCAGGTGCTTTGCCCTAACCTAGACATGCTTTCTGATTCGTCCCTCTGAATCAGTCCAACTCAACTCACTGGACTGCCTGCAAATACAATGTTTGGGCCCATGGAACCTCCCAGAAGTCATTCCTCCCCTGCTGAATAGACCCTCAGCTGCTCCCACTCCAACAGGTCCATTCCCTGCGTCACCCTGGCCTGGGGAGCTGGAGTTGCCTGCCCTGGCCAGGCATCCCCGCCTTTCCCACATACCTTTTAAAACAAAACAAACTAATAAAAATGAATGGCATAAGAAACTGCTAGCATACTGGTATAGTTAACACAAATCTGGTATTAACCACGCCCAGAATGCCCAACAGCTATTGGCTGCTTTTCTCCCTGAAATGCAACACATGCCATGATACAAGCCAACTATGGAATATACCTACAGCTGTGGGGTGGGGGAAGATCTTTTTATACTCCATGAAAAAAGAATAAGTGTGCATACAAGAAGCGGATGTAATAGCCTTTAAATAAGGGAATGTAGGAATTTCAAATGGAAAATACCACAGATGATATTTAAAAGCACATCATTACACTAGTCAAAACCATACCCTGACTTTAAAATAGAATGGAGAAGAGCAAAAAGGAAAGAACGAAATTGAATTACTGTAAATTGAAGCTGTCTTAGCCAGGATCACGTGACTTGAGCCAGTCCAAACTAGACTGGTATCTCTCACAGTTCTTTAGGTCTAGTGTGAGGAACAAGGGTACATTCCACTTGTGTATTAGATCCTAGTGTCACACAAGATAAGCCGTTTTGATGTATAAGGTGCCCAGATATACTGAGGTGACTGTACAGTCACAAGCATGCGGGCCAGAGTTGCCAAGAAAGTGGCAGTAAATTGGATTGAAACCCATTCCAGGGTCAATAGAAAAACGACCTCCCCTCGCTGAACACTCTTGAAATAGTGGAGGTAGGTAGTAAGTGGCGTATGAGGTAACCTAAGATATCTTCATAATTCTCTTCACAATTCCACCCAAGGCTGGTCTTTTCTATTTTAATGGCATGTGCCCAACCTCGGATCTAACAGGTACTTGCCAGAGAGGGAATGTATTGAAAGATACATATCAAGACTTTCACTGACTTATAAATTAGCAACCTGGTTACAATACACTAACCCCCAAAAAGCAAATGGTGACTGCAACGCTACAGATTTTCATAAAACTAGGTAGACAGGACAATATGTCTTGGTAATAAAGACACCACAAAACAATGAAGTCAGTAAAGATTTGGATAACTACTACAGAACTTAAGGACCAGAACTAAAGCATGAGGGGAAGGTAGTCCAGCAGCACATGCATAGCCAAATAAGCCCAAAGCTACACCTGTACGCAGCTCCTTTTACAGAAAAGGTGATTGGCTCTGAAAAGAGCCTTTGGATTTTCACGGTGCGGTGCTCCAAGGAAGGAAGGACGATTTAAGCCCGCTCCCCGCGGATGCGGCGCGCCAGCTGGATGTCCTTGGGCATGATGGTGACGCGCTTGGCGTGGATGGCGCACAGGTTGGTGTCCTCGAAGAGCCCCACCAGGTAGGCCTCGCACGCCTCCTGCAGCGCCATGACGGCCGAGCTCTGGAAGCGCAGGTCCGTCTTGAAGTCCTGCGCGATCTCGCGCACCAGCCGCTGGAACGGCAGCTTGCGGATCAGCAGCTCCGTCGACTTCTGGTAGCGCCGGATCTCGCGCAGCGCCACCGTGCCGGGCCGGTAGCGGTGCGGCTTCTTGACGCCGCCCGTGGCCGGCGCGCTCTTGCGGGCCGCCTTGGTGGCCAGCTGCTTGCGCGGGGCCTTGCCGCCGGTCGACTTGCGGGCCGTCTGCTTCGTGCGAGCCATGTCTAAACTGAACACTGCCTGCCTTGAAACCGAAAGTGAACGAATATATAACACGAGTGCTGTTCTTATTGGACAAGTCAGGCCTAATGGGCGGCTCAGAGCAAAGCTATTGGTGGCTACTATCAAGCCTGCATGAACTGTTTTTCCATCAACTAGGAACGTTTTCCTAGGACCAGCTTTTCTGCTCGAGTTTTCAGCCGTTTCTTTTCCCCCTCCTAATGCGTTTCATTTAAAATACTTGAGTATCTCATTATAATCCTACATATCGAGGGGAATTTTTCCTGGATTAATGTAATTTAATCGTTGGCACCTGGAACTGACTTTTGATCTTTTCAAAAAAGGCACGGGAGGTTTGACGGTAATTTTCTTTCAATTTAGAAAAAACATTCTTTGATCAATTTTTCAAATCCTGATCATGACTTTTCTCCTTAATAACATTCTCAAACATGGTATAATGAACACTCACATTAAACTACTCTTCATATTACACGGATGTAAGACACCACTTGGAATTACCTTGAGTAGACTGCCAAATTCATGATTTGTAGTCAAATATTTCAACTATTGGAAAAAGATGGATGACGTGGGGAATTGTAGTTAATTCTTCCAACAAGTTGGTAAAGCGAGATCTCATAAAGGCAAGGGAAACAGTATCCATGGCACTGAGCGATATTTGGATTCTTGACAAGCAATGCTCCTCACATCTGACAAACTGCAGCTATCCCTATGGAATGATAAATTAAACTCCAACGACCAAATCTGAAATAAGGAGCAAAACCAGCGGGTCTAAATAATGACAGTTTTGCACTATGAACTACAAATACAACGCATGTTCGAAATGTTTAAGCCCTTTCAATTTGACTTTGTGGTGGCTCTTAAAAGAGCCTTTGGTTGTGGTGCACTGCTTTCTGCGCCGTTTTACTTGCCCTTGGCCTTGTGGTGGCTCTCGGTCTTCTTGGGCAGCAGCACGGCCTGGATGTTGGGCAGCACGCCGCCCTGCGCGATGGTCACGCGGCCCAGCAGCTTGTTGAGCTCCTCGTCGTTGCGGATGGCCAGCTGCAGGTGGCGCGGGATGATGCGCGTCTTCTTGTTGTCGCGCGCCGCGTTGCCCGCCAGCTCCAGGATCTCAGCCGTCAGGTACTCGAGCACGGCCGCCAGGTACACGGGAGCGCCCGCGCCGACGCGCTCGGCGTAGTTGCCCTTGCGCAGCAGCCGGTGCACGCGGCCCACGGGGAACTGCAGCCCGGCCCGGGAGGACCGAGTCTTGGCCTTGGCGCGAGCCTTGCCACCCTGCTTGCCGCGTCCAGACATGGCGATGGCTCGGAGGTTCACTTAAACCCAAGATGCCCAGCACCCGGCAGCTGCACAGTTATACTCTGCTCTGGTTTCGTAAAGTAGCCTATGGCAGCGTCCGGATGCCAAGTCCAGCCAATCACAACGCAGCTGTGAGAACAGGCTGCCTCTAGTTTGCATAGGACGTCTGCCGCCGTAGGGCGGGCCTGAGGCGAGGATACTGATAGAGCCAATGGGAGCTCAGCATCCCGTCGTAGCCTATCAGCAGGCAGCGAAGCCAGCAAGCCAATGAAAACCCAGACATCTACAATCCTCATTTGCATGTTCAGCGCAGAAATAGGCTGGTGGCGCACGGGCCTCCGCACTCTGATTTCTTCTCGTGGAAGACAGATCTGAGTGTTGCAGCCACGATGCCTGAGCCAGCCAAGTCCGCTCCTGCCCCGAAGAAGGGCTCCAAGAAGGCGGTGACCAAGGCGCAGAAGAAGGACGGCAAGAAGCGCAAGCGCAGCCGCAAGGAGAGCTACTCGGTGTACGTGTACAAGGTGCTGAAGCAGGTGCACCCGGACACGGGCATCTCGTCCAAGGCCATGGGCATCATGAACTCGTTCGTCAACGACATCTTCGAGCGCATCGCGGGCGAGGCGTCGCGCCTGGCGCACTACAACAAGCGCTCGACCATCACGTCCCGGGAGATCCAGACGGCCGTGCGCCTGCTGCTGCCCGGCGAGCTGGCCAAGCACGCCGTGTCCGAGGGCACCAAGGCCGTCACCAAGTACACCAGCTCCAAGTAGACGCGTGCTTGGGCACAATTCACCCCAAAGGCTCTTTTCAGAGCCACCTACGAAGCTCATGAATGATCTGTAACATAAGTGCTATAAATTCAGGTGTTGCAGTTTGTTGTCCTAATATTCTGATGTCCTGTTATTCATGCAGGTTTTGTATCTCCCTTGCGATGTATAGTGTGAAAGTAGCTATCTGTTTGCCGTTGGTCTCCATGCAGCTTTTTCATTACTTCATTAGTCACCTGCGTAGCTCAGCATTAGGAATGTTAATGGTATGATCCGTACGTTTTCTATTAGTGGCCCACAAACAGCAATTTCAGGCAGTCACTAAGTGAGTTTCTCTAATACTGAGGTTAAAAATTAGTGGGAGGATGAAACATGCCATCTCATCTTGCAAAAAATGCCTCACTCTTGTAGAGAGGTGCCCTGAAGCAGCAAGCAATGCATGACAGAAAGTACCGGGCCTTATAGTTGCAAGTATTCCCAAAAACCTGGTCTGGGTTCACCTCAGACAAAGTTACTTTAGGGATTTCCACAATCAAACTGCCAGACTCGGAGCCTTAACCATGAAAAGACAGAACAAATCAACCACCTCAGCCATATTTTGGCGGCGAAAAACGGGGCGAACAGAGACTACAAAGATGAACTGTGTCTACCAGAGGATTCCTCAGTGGCCACATCATGCTTTAAATGGCGAGTTTGGCAGCAGTTCATTAACTACTGAACTGTCCAAACCACTTGAGCAAGAGCCTCGGAGCATGCCCCATACCACGGACCTGGCATGGATGGGAGGCTGGGTGGGGCTTATCCCTTTACCTCCCTGTTTTTCCCAGTTATAGAAAAAAAAATGTGGAAATAATACTCTTAACCACTTTCCTGTAGCCCTAGAACTTTTGTGCCCTAATTAACTATGTAAAGAATATCAAAAAATAGAATTTAAAAAAATTTGAGCCAACAGCACAAGGTTAGGACGCAGCTTTTACAATTTTAATAGAGCAAAACACTTGATGTTTAATGTAAATGAGATTTCTTTGCAACTGAAACTGTTGTTCAGTGTACCTGTTAGCTCTGCACTTGAAACTATCACAATGACGTTATACCACAGCGCTTTCAAAGAGAATAGAAACAAACGCACATACTTGAACCAACACTGCCTATGCTTGTAGCCTGAGTATGCAAAAGTAGTACTTAAAATCCCAAAGTTTGATTGGGTAGATTGTGTTTGAACTTAAGCTCCTATGCAAATGAAGGGAATGACAAGACTCAGTTTTTCATTGGCTGAAATTGTAATCTCATTTTAACCAATCAGACTGGACAATTTTTCATTCCGGTTGGAAGTATAATTGCTTCCTCTCAGATTTGAGATTTCACATTTGAGCTTGCTTTCCCTCTGACAAACCTTCCCTGTGGTTACCAAGATGTCTGGACGCGGCAAGCAAGGAGGAAAAGCTCGCGCCAAGGCCAAGACTCGGTCATCCCGGGCCGGGCTGCAGTTCCCCGTGGGCCGCGTGCACCGGCTGCTGCGCAAAGGAAACTACTCCGAGCGCGTCGGAGCGGGCGCTCCCGTGTACCTGGCGGCCGTGCTCGAGTACCTGACGGCTGAGATCCTGGAGCTGGCGGGCAACGCGGCGCGCGACAACAAGAAGACGCGCATCATCCCGCGCCACCTGCAGCTGGCCATCCGCAACGACGAGGAGCTCAACAAGCTGCTGGGCCGCGTGACCATCGCGCAGGGCGGCGTGCTGCCCAACATCCAGGCCGTGCTGCTGCCCAAGAAGACCGAGAGCCACCACAAGGCCAAGGGCAAGTAAAACGGTGCAGAAAGCAGTGCACCACAACCAAAGGCTCTTTTCAGAGCCACCACTTTTTCTGGAAAAGCGCTGAATTACTCAAAGTTGTGCTGGTTTGAACCCTTAAAGAAAACCTTTCTCACTGGTCTAATTCCCACTAACAGAATGAAATGGTTAAGAAGAAGCTACATTTTCTGCAAATGAAATGGGAATAAATTCCATATTATGTCACCACATTTTTCACCACAAAATGTGTATACATATAAAGCCACCATACACTAAAAGCCTGAGAATGTGAGAATCCATCGGAGAACAAAGGATGTGCTGTGTCCAATCATTTCCCGGCGGGATTTTTTAATTTTTGGTATGCTTGTACCTGGTTTTAGTGGAAATATCTGCTATTTCTCATTCTAGGAAATGCAATTAGGACCGCACTTTTAAAAGGCCACGTGAAATGAAATCGCCTTTGATAGGGCTTTAAAAGTGAACAGCTTAAGGAATGAATAAATTCTAAATGATTAGGAATCCTGATTAGATGACGCCGTGGGCTTCATTAAATCAGGCAGATATGCACCTTAACGTAGACACTCTGCAGGCAGTTGACCACTAGGAAGGCTTTTTAAGATAAATAATATTTATCGTTTTTTATTAGAAAGAGATTTACAGAAAGGAGAGACAGAGAAAGATCTTTCATCTGCTGGTTCACTCCCCAAATGTCTGCGCTGGAAGGATCTGAGCCCTAGTGCTGGCCATCTGAGGGGTGCATTAGTGGATGGGAGATCTCTGTCCCTGTCACTTTGTAAACATGACTGGCAAAGGAATAAATAAATCCCGTTTTAAAAAGGCAGCTTCACTGCTGCACCAGCCAACTTGCATGTTCTCAAGCTCCCAAGGCCTTTAATCATCACAACCATAACACTGGCCTGTGAAAGCTTGGCTGGTCAACATAACATTGATGGAAGTAGGCAAAGTCTTCTTCCTGGGGCTGTTTGAACCCCAACCTCTGTGCCATCCGTGTCTCATGCTAAGGAACTCACTCTTTGGCACACCCCACCCGTGGAACTGACGCACACACAACTCAAAGCTTTCATTTCATATCTAAGGAAAGGTATTTAAGTGCATTTTCCGAATGGGTTCTACATTAAAGCACTCAGTGTCTTTGCCTTGCCTGGTGAAAAGAATTCTAATGATTGAATCAATGAGAAGTAGACTCACAGACTTTTAAAAATATAATGTGCAACATGTTGCTCCACAGATCACCTCTCTTCACAAGTCCCCTTTCAAATCTGTTTGTTCAATTTGGAGAGAAGCATTGAGATGTGCCTGGGGTGAAATCTAGGTAAATTGTGGAGTTGATGAATGGCATACTGGTGAGAGAAATTGTCTCTTAAAACCTCCATGGAGGTCAAAAGAAGTAACAACATTCATAATTCCATATAATGAGTTCAACATATGCCTTCAACAAATAGAGAAGGTTTAAAAACCAAACTCAGACCAAAACTTTCTCATGGAGAAAGTGTTTCAGGCCATTGTTTTATTACACGTAGCAATGCATAGAATTCCAAATAATAAAAATCCAAATATATGTTCCTAATGTATAATTCATTATTCAGGGAACCACAGAAAAATAAACTTATGTCAACAGAATAAAGATGATGAACAATATATATAACTCATATCAGAAAAATGGAGGAAATTTAGTTCAAGAAGATGTATTATGTCCTGAGGGATTATTACATTGTCAACTTTAGGTTACACACTGAATTGCAGAAACATACTTTTCAGCAGTAATGGGCAGAAACATGCAATTATTCTATCTTTCAGCTTAGTATTGAAAAACACTGATACGGGCCATACAAATATCAAAACATAATCATATTTTCCAAGACACAAACCTGAGTATGCTGTTTAGGCTATGCTTTCCTATGAAAGAGAATGCAGTCCTTCCTTTATTTTGGAATAAATATAAATAGTTTGATATGAAATCCTTATGTGATTTTTGACAGGTTTACTTTCCATGTTATAACCCCTCTCTTTTGACAAAAGTTGAACAAAATTACTTACAATTCAAATTTTTCCTTTTAAGGAATCCATGATCTGATTTTCTAGTTGTCATCTTTGCTGACCTGAACATAGCTTCCAGAAATCATCGTATGACCTTCTTTTCTCCAATATAATGATCTGGGGGTGTTGGAATAACTATTTCTTGTTTATTTCTTGTTAATAACTGCTTTCTTGTTTTTCTAATTACTATGCTCTTCAACACTTTTTAGCAGATCAAAGCTTAAGCTTTTATGGAAACAACATTTAGTTCTAGATACCCTTCTGCAAATATCTATATTCTGGGGAGTAATACAGTAGCATGGAATTCCAAGTAGTCGCCATCTACTGATTTCTTACAATTAAAGAATGCAAATATTAATAATCTCATCTCTATATTACTACATTTTCTCCGTGATAAGTCACAAGCTTTTTGTTTGTTTTTGGACAGCTTCCTTTTGTTAACTTCTATATATTTCTAAATGAATCTAACTTTGAGCCATGTACTAGATTTCCATGCAACATAAAATAGCTCTTTTTTCTTTCAAAATTATACTTCCAATATTTTGCAAAGAATCAGGAAACAGGACAAAATAAGAGTTCTTGCGCAATGCTACACATCAAAAATAATGCAAACACTGTTATTTTGAAATTTGTAATAACCACATTTTAAAAAGTAGAAAGATACATGTGAAATCATTTCATTAACATGTTGCAATGAATATCAACTGTGAAAATATTATCACTTTGGTATATAACCACAGTTAAAAATAGTCACACAATATTTAAAATGTACCTTTCAAAGTATAGCTTTCGACTAGGCTGTACAATTATCTCATTATCCCATTCAATTTTCATTGAGAAATATTTTGATTTGCATTTATATTGCACAAACATTGTTTTTGTTACATTAAAATACATACCTAACACATGCCAATTGCATATCAGCTTTTAAAATTTACAAAACACTTTCTTTTTCACTCCGCCATCGTGATACGTGGCCTGGAGTCTTCCTCGCCATGTCTTCTCACAAGACCTTCAGAATCAAGAGATTCCTGGCCAAAAAACAAAAACAAAATCGTCCCATTCCCCAATGGTTTCGAATGAAAACCAGCAATAAGATCAGGTATAACTTCAAGAGGAGACACTGGAGAAGGACCAAGCTGGGTCTGTGAGGAACTGTGCTAAAACAGATGGAACACATATTTTGTGCTGTATCAACATCACTATCCATTGTATCAAGCTAAGGATGCCACCATCGTATGGACAGCTGGACATGTTTGATTGAGACCCCTTAGTAGTGGGTTGGTTCAGTAATAAATATGTGAGACATTTTTAACTACAAAAATAAATAAATAAATAAATAAAATTTACAAAACAGATAATCAATGGTCATGGCCTTGTCTAGGCTCTAAGGTGCCAAGGACACATGCTGCATGCCTTGAGGGGTTAACCTCAATTTCTCATCTGTATTCATAACCTACGCCTTATTCAGGGCCACCCGCCTAGTCCCATGAAAGGGCTAGTGACTTCATAGTCATGTTTCAGTATTGAGCAGCTTCTGGAGTAACTGAAAGTACTAACGGCTCCTGAAATGTGATATGTAGTGGTAGAGAATTTGTCCTTCACTTACTGTATTTACCAAACTCCTAACTCTGCAAATCCTTTGGAACATATCTTTATTCTTTATGTAGTCTCTCTTAGGGTTGGTATACCCAAAACAATCAGGTACATTTTCAAATTGTCCAGTACAGCCTATTGCAGATTTGTCAAACACAAAGCTATTGTTATTGCTTCTTTTTAAGAAAAAAAAAAATTCTGAAAATCAAAGAGTTATATGTCATTATGTTAGTGGGGGTGGAGGGTGAAGGGGAAAGAGCTGATAATCTATATAAATGCTCTGCCAGAAATAGGTAACTTCGGGGAAAGCGGAACCTGAGAACAGGCTGCACTGCAGGTGGAGAGCAAAGACACAGAAATCGATGTGCCATGCAGAAGACAACATGTCTCGGCACGTCTCTTCTATCCCTCACAAAACTCAGCACTTCTTTCGTCTCTAGCCATGTTTATTTTTTATTATTAAGACAATTACTTCAACTAAACTCACAGACTATGGCTTATTCTCAGCATTGAGGCAGCAAACACACAGATCCAAAGTCCAGCGAGAGGAATCAGCCACGCCATAATTTCACACACGCATCAGTATTTTTAAGAAAACAAAAAGTTGGGCCCAGTGCCACGGCCTAGCGGCTAAAGTCATCGCCTTGAACGCGCCAGGATTCCATATGGGTGCCGATTCGAATCTTGGCAACTCTGCTTCCCATCCAACTCTCTGCTTGTGACCTGGGAAAGCAGTCAAGGATGGCCCAAGGCTTTGGGCCCCTGCATCCACGTGGGAGATCTGGGTTCCTGGCTCCAGATAGACGCAGCACTGGCCATTGCGGTCACTTGTGGAGTGAATCATCTGACAGAGGATAATTCTCTCGGTCTATCCTCCTCTCTGTATATATCTGACTTTAGAACAAAAATAAATAAAACATTAAAAGAAAAAAAAAAATGAGTCTCCAAATCTGTGTCATGGCATGGAAGAGTGGCAGCAACATTCCAGCTAATGATTATTTCTAATGAAATTCAGGAAATAAATAAGCAGCAAATGCAGGAAGGCTGTGTAATATTTTTCTTCCTAGGGGGGAATAAAACTTCTCCCCTTTAACAAAATGATAATCACATTGCAGTCCTAGAGATAAAGATTACAGGTGGAGGAAAGTAGGAACCAACCATACCCAATCTGATCTTCTGCTTTTATTTTTGAACATCAACAACCCTAGCCCAAACTCTACCATGTTTGCATGCTTGCATAACTTAGCACTCTGCTCAAGGCACTATATAACTTACCTAATTTGGGCCCAGCTTAAATGACTAGTTCTCTGGCTTGCAAGTGTCTGAATCCCATTTGGGTGCCAGCTCATGTTTCCAGCTGCTCCACTTCCTTTCCAGCTCCCTGCTTATGGCC